CGTACGTCAGTGACGACGTTTTGGAGTTTGGCAGCGTCGAAGAGTGCGTCGTTTCTCTTCTGCATGAAGCCCATGCCGTAGATGTCACGGAACTCCAGAGGCGGGGGCGCAAACGACGGGTCAGCCTGACACACACACACACACACACCATTCCGTGACATTCATTCAAACAGGTGTCTGTGTGTTGTGCTTATGGATGTGTGTGTGCGCCTAGCGTGTGTGCGTACCGTACCTGCAGTATGATGAATTTGCCGCCCTTCTTGGCCTTGAGGATCTCCAGAGCCTTCTCGTGATACCTGCCCACACACGCACAATCCGCCCACACACACACACGCGGTGCACCATACCTGCCACCCCCTCCCTCCCTCCGTCCCCTTCTGTGTGCTAACCCCGGTGCGACGATGCCGTCGCTGACTTCCGGCTTGAGCACCAGTGCGGTCTCCTCGTCCACCACGTCACTCAGCGCAGCGAAGTCGCCGAAGGAGCACATCGGGTCGGCATTCCTCGCACGCACGTACGCACAGGCCGCGTCCGTGAGCTTCTTGTCGCCGATGTCGAACACCTGACGCTCCACCGCCGTCAGCGGGGCCGAGATGGCCGCCCCGGCCGGCGACACGTGCTTGAATGAGGCCGCAGCGGCCTTGCCCGTGGCCTGCCTGAGCTCCTTGACGAGCTGCCATGCGTTGACGGCGTCGAGGAGGTTGATGTAGCCGGGCGTGCCGTTGACAACGGTGAGGGGGAGGGGGTGGCCGCCCAGGGCGCAGAGGGCCGCCGGCTTCTGGTGTGGGTTGCAGCCGTACTTGAGGGTCAGCAGGGGGTTGTAGACGTTGGGGTAGTTGACGGGCTGGTAGCTGTCGAGGGCCTGGGTGAAGTAGCGGCTGATGGCGCTGTCGTAGGCGGCAGTGCGGGAGAAGGCCGCCGCAGCGAGGTGCTTTCGCAGCTCTGGCGTGCTGCATCCGCCGTGGTTCTTCATGCTGTCCTTGACGAGGGCGTACTGGTCTGGCGAGGTGACGATGCACACAGCGGGGTTGTTCTTGGCGGCTGCGCGGATCATGGCGGGGCCGCCGATGTCGATGTTCTCCATGCACGTGTAGTAGTCGGCCCCGCCCTTGACGGTCTGCTCGAAGGGGTACAGGTTGACCACCACCAGGTCAATCGCACCCACGCCGTGCTGCACCATCTCGGCCTCGTGGCTGGCGTTGCCCCGCACTGCCAGCAGCCCGCCGTGGATCTTGGGGTGCAGCGTCTTGACGCGCCCGTCGAGGATCTCCGGGGAGCCGGTGTAGTCGGACACCTCCTGCACGGGCACGCCCGCCTCCTGGAGCTTCTTGTAGGTGCCGCCAGTCGACAGCAGGTGCACACCGCCCTCAGCGAGGAACTGACCGAACTCCACCACTCCGGCCTTGTCGAAGACGGATAGGAGGGCGCGCTCTATCTTGCGAGGGGCGTCGGTGCCCACGACGGCTGTGATGGACGGCATGCTGGCTGGCTGGCTGCTCACGATGAGATGAGTGCGGACGGGAGATCTCCGAGATGGGATGAGAGATGCGGATCACGACGGCTGAAAAGGACGATGAAGAGAGGTTGCTGAACACGTTGCTGAAGGTGGGAGAGCCGCTACATGAGTTCCTCGTGGCGACGCCGTCTCAGCGAGCTATCTCGACGCGCCCCCACCCGGCCCCCACCTCCCGTAACGCATCTCTAAGAAATGGGCGGTGTGATTGGGAATGTGCTGGCCAAGGTGATGACAGTGAGCGTGAGCAGGAAGCCTGGAGGAGGCCCCCCGCCGCTGCTCAAGAACCCCAGCCGTGCCTCGTGCCTCATCGCAGCCTTTGTGCAGGCGCTGGTCTTCCTCACGGCCATCTCGGCCAACGTGCTGCAGTCGATGCTCGACTGGTCCTGCAACCCATGGACCACCTGCTACTTCCAGTTGAGCGCCGTTATCTGCCTCCTCACGACGGTCTTCTATGTCTTTTTGGCGTGTGTCGATTACCGAAGCGACGAGAGGTGGTACTCTTACCTTGGCTGGATGCTGTTGATCACGTTGGTGAAGCTGGGGGGCAAGCGGCGGGGTGCTGGCTGAGCTACCTGAACTTCATCCATCGGGGTGAGGAGGGGACGAGTTACTACTTTTGCTATCATGACTTCAAGACGCTGTACTACTACACGCTGGCCATGACGGCCTGCCATGTGACGGCCATGACCTATGTGGTCTATGTGGCCTTCTTTCGGATCTTTGCCGGCATTGTGGGGCAGTTCAAGAAGCTCAAAGGCATCACTTAGATGAGACACACATGACACAGACAGACACAGGCTGACACGATGTCCATCGATGTGTTGAGTAATTGGGAGATCCCTTCCCTCTCTGTCCATCCATATCTCTCTCTGCGCAGTGTCCACCCATCCATTCACAGCAACACGCATCTGCCATCTGCCGCCACATAAGCAATAATTAAACTAGCCAACGACCAACACACAACAGATGAGCCGAGCAGTCTGTCTGTCTGAGTGTCCGGCTGCAGGTACCATACCCGGGGGCATTCATGTGTGTGTGCCTGGCTGTTGCTGGCTGTTCGACGCTCCCAAGCTCCTGAATCCTCACGGCAGTCAGGGTGGCGGCTGCCGCGAGAAACCGGGAGCTGACGATCGTCGAACAGCGTGCAGCGCCGCACGCTGATCGGATGAGAGCACGAGTACAAACACCCACTGTCTCCCGTCGACATGTGAGCATGCCAGCAGCACATTCCTCACGCGACACAGAAAACGGTCGTCGGTGGCACTCTCGCCGACGAATGTCTTGTGTGTCGGCTGAGAGATCTGCTGCTGACATCCACACACTCCGGGTCACACGAATCCGTAGCATTAGACCCCCCAACAGATAGATAAACAGGCAGGCAGTGTGCAGCACACCACACCACACCACACCACACCACACAGGCTGCCGCATATTTCTCTACAGCATGCACGATGCACCATGCACATGCAGGCATTCAAGGCAGGAGCGTTAAAACACGAAGGAAGCATGAGCCCGGAAAATGGGCTCACGTCACCCATCTCAATCTCAATCTCTCTCACACACACACTCTCCCTCTCTCAGAGTGGAAGATGTATAGGGGCACAAAGACCCACATATTACATCATTGAAAGTGCAACACGCATGCTCACACGCAGGCAGACACACACACGCATACGACGTATGTATGTATGTATGTATGTTTGTTTGTGTGAGGGTGTGCGGACCACGCAAGCACCCACCCACCCATGGGCCCATGGATCCACTCGTTCGTCATATGCACAGCTGGGTGTGGACGGCCCCCGAGTTGTAGAATCGCCTCAGCAGTGCCGAAATGACGCCATGCTCAGCCTCGTCATCCTGACAAACAAAACACATATACCCCACAACACACACCCCAGCCGACGGATGGATGATGCACATGGGATGGGTGTCTTCTGTGTCTTCTGTCTCTGTGTGTGTCGATGTCGATGTGTGGGTCGACCGTACCGGGTCTAGGTCTGTGTGTGTGATGTTGACGATCAGGAAGTACAGGCGGCCGACCAAAAAGATGGGGCTGACGTGCAGCAGCGGACACAGCAGCTCACCTGAACAAAGACTCACGCAAAGGAAAGAAACACAGCCATGACACACATAACCGGCAGGCCTCCCCTTTTGTCCACCCACTCTCTCACTCACCCGATCGTCGCCTGATGAGCGCCCGCACGACGATGTCATTGGCCACAGACACGCCATGTGACGCGCGCGTCTCGTCCAACTGAATGGACCATACCATTGACACATAGGGAAGGACAGATCATGCCTGTGTGTGCCTCTATCCTAACCGTCCCGTCCTGCCCCTGTGTGTGTGTGGCTACGTACGTATCTGATGAGTGCCTGGTTTGCGTGGTCGTTGACGTCCGAGCACATGAGCGAGTAAGGAGAACCGATGACGTCCCACGGCTCGTACCCACACAACTTGCAAAACGCCTCTGACACTATCACCAACGGGCTACACATACACACACACACACACAGAGAGAGAGAGAGAGACCATGCACATTGCCTCCCTCCCTCCCTCCCTCCATCCCTCTCGCCCTTCCTTACTAGTTGGGCTGCTCGGAGTCGATCAACGCCGGCCCGAACTGCACATCCCGATACAGCGCACTCACCAGCCCCGTCCCCCTCTCCCCTTCCGACATCATCGGCACCCCGCTGCCCCCCCCAAATGAGCTCTTCTCCCCCACCATGGCCAGGCGAGACCGCAGCTCCTCAACGTGGTCCTGCAGAAACGCCACCGTCTCCTCCAGATGGCGTGCCTGCGTCTGCGACCCCGACGCATCGCTGCACACACTCACACCGCTCCTGTGGACGGTCGATGGCCGCGTTGTCCCGGTGATTCCGCTGCTGCTCTGGCCCCCGTCTGAGGCACCGCTGCTCGACCCCTGCCGACAGATGGTATCGGGAGGAGGGTGCAGGAGACCACTGTCGCTGTTCGCCAGGCTGCCTTGCCGGAGCATCTTCTTGCGCCACTCATTGGGGTCGTAGGGCGGCGTCAGCTTTCGTTTATCGCTGGGGAGGAGAGCGGGAGGCCTGTGGTGGGATGCTGTCGGCCCGTCGAAGGGGAAGAGGTCTTCAGGGAAGGAATCTTCGTCTGCATCAGACGCCAATGTGAAGCCGCCACCCTCCGCCATCGCCATTGTCCTGCACCGAGCTCCCTCACAAGCTGGGGTTCAGGGTTGCAAGCTCGAAAAGAACTCAACCGCCCACCACACCCAGGTCAACCGCAGCAACGCACGTCGGCCGGGCGGCATTGCAGCTGCAGGGGCGGAGCGCGACAAAGATCGCAAGTACGGTGCCAACTGCCGGCAGAAGGGCTACACATTCGTGCCCTTAGCGGCGGAGACGTTCGGCCGGTGGGGTGGCGAGACCCTCACTCTGCTCCGCCGCCTGGCGAGACGGCGCGTCCCCCCACCCGCCAGCTCTGCAGAAGACCGTGCATTTTTTCATGAGGGTGTCATGAACCATTGGGGGCAGTGTTTGTCGGTCGCGCTGATGCGCTGGAATGCTTTTCAAGTGTCCTGCCGCGCACATCACGCGGCTGATGCTCGGACACAGCAGCGAGCAGGTCTGTTCCCTGAGGACCTCATCTCTCGAGGGCCCTACAGGGCACAAACTCGCACGTTTGCCTGCCAGGACCGGCCGTGAGGGACGTGGTGTTATGGGTCGGGTTTGGGTTGTATGGTGGTTTGGTAGTGCATGTGATAGTCGCATATGCTATTGCGTTTGATGGGCCGTTCCGTTTGTGTCAGACTGCTGATGTCATTCTTGCCGTGTGATGCGCTTGTGTTTCTGCGATTGCGTGTGCCTTTGCGTGTGTGCACATCCGTATTGACTCTAGATCAGACGTGCTGGTCGCCCATGCTTCCGTGAAAGCCAATCATTGCCTCAAAAAAAAGCATGGCATTCTGACGTTCGAGAGGCGCATCAGCATTTCAGTTTTTGGCAACGCCGCCCCGTCCCAGCCCGTTGCTCTCGCCCCTGTGGTCATCCATGGGACTGACGCTCGCCGCATTTCGCTGCTTGAGCTAGACGGCCGCACACGCCTGTAGTATTATCCCAGCGGCAGAGACCGACAGCACTGTAGAACCCTTCCCTCCAGCCCTTCCCTTCCCTTAGATCAGCATGTACCAGCACCAGCACCAGCAGCATCAGCAGCAGGCATCCGGTTCTGCTGTTGGTCAGCCTGGTGTGGGAGACGGCGGCAGCCCGGCGTATCCGCTGGACACGGAGAAGACGCTGCGTCCGGCTCTGCAGGACGTGTGTCACGAGTACCCCTATGAGGAGCTGCTTAGGGCGACCAACAACTTCGCTGCCGCCAGCCGGCTGGGCGAGGGCGCCAACGGGACCGTCTACAAGGGCACACTCAACAACTTCACAGAGGTCGCCATCAAAGTACTCAGGGTGAGCAGAGCCGTCAGTCTGTCAGTCAGGACAGACCGACCCGAGCCGTGAGTGTCCACGTGTGGGTGTCGATCCGACAGGTGCCGACAGAGGGTGGATTCGAGGATGAGATCCGTGTGTTGAGCAAGTTCCGCCACCCCAACCTGGTCACCCTCCTCGGGTGGGCGCGCCACGGCACCGACCGTCTGCTGGTGTACGAGCTGCTCAAGGGCGGCGACGTGTGTGACGTGCTGCACCCCAAGTCGGACAAGCACGGTGGTAGGCCCTTCCCCTGGCAGCACCGCCTCAACGTGGCCTACGAGGCGGCCTGCGGCCTCTCACACCTCCACTCGGCCAACCCAAAAGTCTTCCACCGCGACATCAAGAGCGCCAACATCCTCCTCGACAAAAACGGAACCGCCAAGATGGCCGACTTCGGCTTGGCCTGCAAGGCCAGGCGGAGGAGCCCCGGACAGGTCAATGTCGCTAAAGCAGAAGGTGGGTTTGGGAGAGGGGGAGGCAGAGAGAGAGAGAGAGAGAGAGAGAAAGAGAGAGAGAGAGGGGTGCTGTTTGTTTGTGTCGACTGACGTGTGTGTGTTCGATGCCATACATCAACCACAGGGACGCCTGGGTACGCCGACCCGCTGTATATCGAGACGTTGCGAGTGACGGAGAAGACAGAAGTGTACGCTTTCGGTAAGTCAGCCAGCTCACACATATACACATACCAGCTCACACATGACTGACGGCAACAGGCGAGGGACACCCACCCACCCACACACAGCCCATCCCTGATATCCCTGTTTGTCTGTGCGGTGGGTGCGTATACATCAAACCATTCCATCAGGCATGGTGTTGCTCGAGTTGCTGACAGCCCGTCCGCCGGCCATCTACAGCCCCGTCAACCCCACAGAGCTCATCTACCTCATCAAGCACATCAACAGGCACGACCACAGGTCCGTGCTGCCGCTCGTCGACCCCAGGGCCCAGTGGCCACACAAGATGCAGGAGGAAATCGCCAAACTCTCACTCAGGTACACACTGAACTCAACTCACACACGCTCGTATGAGATGTGCGGCACAGACCCGCCGGCCAATAAGGTCTCTGTGTGGGTCGTCCAGGTGTATAGCTGACAAGGAGAATGACCGCCCGACGTCAGTGGAGCTCGTGGGCGCCCTCCGCGACCTCGTCAACCAGACCCCCAACTTCCCCCAGGCACCCGCCCTGCCAATGGCCCCCTCGCCCCCGCCAGCTGTGAGGGCGCCATCGCCCATGCCGGCTGGTGCCCCTGCTGCTGCTGCTGCTGCTGCTGGTGCTGCTGGTGCTGCTGGGCCCAGCCACTCGCCGCCGATGGGACCGTATCCTGCGCAGGCGCCCCAGCTGTATGCCTACCAACAGGCGGCGGGCTTCGTGCAGCACTATCTGGCGCAGCAAGGTGGGCTGGGCTGCACACGAGGGGATACTTCTGCAGAGCAGATGAGGTGATTGTCGATGTGTGTGTGTGTGTGTGTGTTCTGTTTGGTTTGTTTGGTCAGGTGGTGGCGGCGGCGCCCCGTTCCAGGCTGCGGCCATCGGGTACTACCCCCCTCCCCCTCCCGCCGCCCCCGGCCCGCCCCAGGGGCCGCCTGCCAACCACAACAACATCTACTACCCCCAGCCGCACACACCACCTCCCATCCAGGCGTCACCATCCCACCCACCATGGGCACCTGCACCGGCAGCACCCCCAGCGGCAGCAGCAGCAGCAGCAGCCGACAACCAGGCGCGCAGCCGCACACCCAAGCCCCCCGCGTCCATTCCCAGATCGTGGCAGCCATTGCGCTCGGCCACTGAGACCGACGCGCCCCACGCCGAGTTCAACGAGCCCCTCTTCTCGGTGGAGATCGGCGGCCCTGCGGTGGAGAGCATCCCGCCCGACCAGCGTGTGCGCAGCTTTGGGCCGCTCAAGGTGACGACTGAGGGCACTCTGGTGCTGCAGGAGAGGTACCCGGTGATAGTGGGGCGCGGGTACGCCCCCCTGTACCACGAGAGCCTCATCGACGACAGCTGGTTCAACTGCGTCAGCCGCAAGCACTGCGAGATTGAGGTCGACGTGCACCGGCCCAGCGACGCCACCGTCAAGCTCGCGCTGTCCAAGGGCGCGCCCGCCAGCACCGTGGCACGCCATTTCGGCTTCCAGTACAGGTTCCGGCTCAAGTGTCTGAGCCCCAATCACATCTTCCTGGGCGACGAGCTGATCAAGATGGGTGGGTCGGCGTATCTGCAGCCGGACGACCGTGTGGTGCTGCTCAAGAACGCCCAGGGGGAGGTCATGACGTACTTCACCTTGAGTGTGGCGGGGGAGGTCGCTGACGCCGTGGTGGCCGGGGGAGGGGGAGGGGAGGAGGGGGCCAAGGCCAACGGAGTGGCGGGTGAGAACGTCGTGGTCAAGGAAATCCACGGTGAGAGGAGAAGGAAGAGAACGCCGACACAGACACACAGTGCACTCTTCACTCCCATTCCCTCTCTCCTCTGTTGTCTCAGCTGACCAGCCCGCCCAGGGCGGCTCGCCTGCATCTCCCCCGCGCCCACCAGCCGCAGCTGCCGTCCCCTACCGTGCGCCGAACCCCGCCCCGGCCTTCCAGCCGAGGCCACAGGCACATGTGCCCATTGCCGCAGCCTATGGTGGTGCTGGTGCTGGTGGGGTGGGTGTTGGTGGGATTCCCAATCAGCTTCAGCATCAAGATGGCGTGTTCGAAAGGTACTACTACCTGATATGATTAACAAACAAGGGGGTGGGGGCAGTGAGTGTGGGTGGTTTGTTTGCCCGTGAAATGAGTGAGTCAGTGGAGTAGGTCAGTACGTGTGTGTGTGTGTGTGTGTGTTTGGTGAAAGGAAGGTCCAGCTCGCTGTGCTGGTATGTTTGTTCGGTGCTGTGCGTGTCAACGGTTAGTTCATTGGTTCGGCGGGGTCAGGTCAGGTAGGTAACCTACCTGAGTGAAGGCGTGTGGTGTGTTGGACGGTTGCGGTAGCATGTGTCTATGTGTGAGTGTGTCTGCTAAGGTCATCCATTTATCCATCCATCCCTCTCTCCCTCCATCTCTCATCGATGGTTTGGACTGAACGTATGCCTTGTGCCGTGATCGGTCAGTCATTGGTGTCGCCAAGTCTCACACTCACACACCTCTACACACACGTGGACCGTCTGGATGATCTTCCTAGTGCGATCGATAGCGTCTCTGCCTGTGCCTCGCTCTCTCGCAAGCTGACTGACATTTTCTAAACTACATTCCATCAAGCCCCCACCCCCACACATCACAATGGCTTATCCTGTGTCCCTTCTCTCTCTCTCTCTCTCTCTCTCTGTGTGTGTGTGTGTGTGTCATTTCAGGTTCAAGAACCTTTTTGTCGGCGACAACAACCAGCCCATGAAGCCGTCCGACAGCCACCCGCCCTCCCAGCAGTCCCAGCAGTCTGACGGCAAGAGCGACAAGAGCACCAACGGCGCCGCCAAGGGCGTCAAGACCCGGCTGTTCGAGTCCGTCACCCCCCTGATAGACCAGCTGCGCGAGGGCTTCCACCAGATGACCGGCCAGCACGGCAAGGTCATTCGAACCCCCACCATCACCGAGGAGGACGAGGCGGCCATGAACGGCCATGCATACGGCCGGCCATCGCGGCCCCGGCCGCCCCCTGGTGCGTCGCTCGAGTCGCCTGTGAGGGGGCGGGCCCACACGGGCAGCGACGACGTGACGACCACCCACCGGGGCTCTCTGCCGTGGAAGAAGAGCAGCAGCCACTTCAGCGAGGCCGACCGCGGCCGTTCGTCCACGCCCCCGAAGCGGCTGCCCACTCCCTCGCCACGGCGGGGGTCGCCCGTGCAGAGCATGTGGATGGACGAGCTCAGGAAGGAAAAGGAGCAGCGGGAGTCGGGGAGCGAACACAAAGAGACCTTCCAGCCGGCCGTGCCGGCAGGGGTGCTGCGGCCACCCGTGCAGATAGCGCCGTCGCACAGTGAGGGGAGTGCTGATGCTGATGGTGGGGAGCAGGACGCGTTTGACGTGCTGCGGGACAGGGCGGCGCTGCGGGATGATTATGTGTGACTGATCGGTGGGGAGCGTTGACGTAGGCTGATAGCTAGCTACTCATGGGTGTACGTGGGCTGGAGGGAGGGAGGGGTATGGGACAATTCAATGACGACTGATAGTGTGGTGATGACCTGCATGAGACATCATCTTCTTGTTGCCGTTTCCTGTTCGTTTCTGAGGCCGGCCGGTATTTGTCAAGTCTAATGCGTGGGGCCCACATGCATGTACGCATTGACTCACTCGGCATGTGTATGGTACATCAACAGAAATCTTGATTGCAATCATTGGAAAAAACGCGAAAAAGAACATGGAAGACTCACACACTGCACAAATGGAACAGGGTCACAGCGAATGTCTCACCGACACACAGAGGACAGACACACACCCCTATAGTCTTATGGTTGCCCGTCGCCCGTCTGTCTGCTTTTCCGTACTACCCACCTATCGCCCGTCACTCAGAACGACCTTTTCTTGATAACCATAGGCAGCTCCAGCGCCACATTTGACGCTCGATGTCCACCAGGCTGTCCTACAAATCGGCTTTCGTTGAGGAAGATTCCTGCCATTCCAGCGGTCACTGACGAAGGTGTCGCAGCCGAAACTGACCATTCACGCTGCCGGCTGCTTGACGCGGGTGTCACCAGGGAGCCTCTCTGCGCGCCTGACGGACCACCAGATGGTGCTGGTGACATGATGCCGCCAGCAAATGCCACCGGCGAGACGGACAGCGGCCCCTCGGTGCGGTATGCGGCTGGCGATGGCACATGCATCTGCCCCGCCCGGCCCCACGCTCGTCTGGAGGATGGCATCGGATAGCCGCCATGCTCGTACTGCCGTATGAGGATCTGGATGGGGTCGTTTTGCAGCTCGGCCTTCTCTGTCTTGGTGTTCTTCCTGCGCCACTCGCGGAGCGTGCCTAACCGCCTGGTCGACCCCGGCGACTGTGGGTTGACTCGCGAGGGCCCCTTGCCGGCAACGAAGCTCGGTCTCGACACAGGGGGGAGCTCTTCGGCGATGTCTGGCGACGACGCGCGCTTCGACGGGGAAGCGTCCTCGCCACCCTTGACCGCGGCGGTACGGCGTCTCATGAGGTCAACAAAGCTGAAGCGGCCCTTCCGTCGCGCAAAGGTGGCGAGAGAAAAGAAGGCACTTCGGGGCGACTGCGCCGGAGCTTTCTCTTGCACCGTCGACTCCTCTCCCTCCGTGTCAGTGGCGCTTTTCTGCTTATCGAACCGAACGCTGCGGATGCTGGTGCGGGACTCGTGCGTCGGCAATCTCTCCGTTGGCTCCCCAGCGTCGTCTGGCTCTGCCTCCCCTGTATGGCTGACCGGGGCGGGTGGTTCTGAGATGGATCGCCGAGGTCCCTTTGACGGTGACTGGCCGGGACTCACCGAGAAGGACGTCCGAGATGACTGCTGGCGCGCGAGAAGAAGGAGGTCGGAAAGTTCGGCCATCTGGCTTGCCCGCCGGGTGTCTCTCGCTTGCCTGACTTCTTCTGCTTGTGGGGAAAAGGCGTTGTCGTCCGCCTCTGTCTCATCCTCCTCCTCCTCTGTCAGCTCAGACGGGAACTTCCCCGTCACCTGCCGCTGGATCTTCCTCCTAGGTGGCGACTTGGAGGGCGAGGACATCACTGGACTCGATCCCTCCTTTTTGTCGGTTGGCGTCTGGCCCGGTGTGGTTTCCTTGATGGCTGGCATCGTCGACCGGAGCACAAAGCCGCCGCTGGAATCGCTCCGCCGCCACAGCCCGCCCCGCTTTGGCGACTGGATGGACACGTGGTCGTAGAGCCGATGCCGTGACGACCTCCCAGCTGAGGGAAGGAGGATGGAATGCATGGACGCGGCTGACATGACGCTTTGCCGGCTGGGAAGGGGCAGCGTGCGGCTGCCAGGCTGTTCTCTCACATATGGGGGGAAAGAAGTGTCATTGTCATCGTCGAGTGTCTCCAGGCTCTCAGTCGACCCACGCCGCATGTCGCCGGTGGTCTTGCGTCTGAGCGGCCCATCCCGTCTCCGTTTTCGTGTGAAAATGCTCCTGGCGCTGCCGAAGATGGTCCGGGGTCTTCTCTCCGGTCCTTTCTCCTCTCGCACAGTTGTGGGAGGTGGTGCAGGGGGGGCGGCCGACATGCGCTCTCTGTCCTCGACGCGCTGTGCAGCCTGTCTCAGCGCCTGCCGCTGTTGCATGGTTGAGGTGAATTCCATGTGTGTCTTGGGCGATGGCTCCCGCTGGTTGTAGCTCTTCTGCAGCTCGTCAAAGCGGTGCTGGAGATTCTCTAACTCCTCTTTGAGGGCATTCAGGCGATACCTGCATACGTGCATATGATGTGCACATTATGCACCATTGCATGCACATCGTGTGCAGTGATTGGGTGGCCCCTTACCAGAGTACACCGTTCTTGACGGGGTCGATCTCGGAGATGCGCTGGTCACACTGCACCCACCCATCGCATACACGAATGCATCCAGAAATCGAGATCTCGATCCATGTTTGCTCGTTTCTATGTTTGTGCGTACCCGCTCCTGGTAAAGACACACGCGATGGTACGCCACCTCCCGTATGATGGTGAACATGTCGGGGAAAGCGTCCATCAGCTCGAAAAAGTGATCACGCCGCAGCGCCATCACAGAGCAATCCTCAATCGCCTGGGCAGAATAAGGATGCTTCATCTGCTCGTCACACACGGCACAGCACACGGAGCGACGGGCCCAAGTAAGTTAGGGAGGCGCCATTATAATGTATTGCTTGTGTCCACGTTGGCGTATGCATACTTGGTAGACCAGGGCGGTCTCTCCGAAGAATGAGCCCGGGTACATGTAGCTGCCGATGAGGGACTCAATGCCTCTCAGTGTGGGCAGATCCGCCTCGCCAGGGTGGCCGCGGACCGTCTCCCGACGGATCTGTGACACACACAGAGTGAGCATACACATCCATGCATGACCAACATCAGTCTTTGTGCGTGCGTCTCGGTCGGTGCCCACCGCGTTGGTGAGTAAATCCGAAAATGGTTCCACGCTGATCTTGACACATCCCGAGACGACAAAGTACAGATGGGTGGGCACTTCGTTCACCAGAAAAAAGGAATCACCCGTCACAAACGTCTGCAAGTAAGTAACACGTACGTCACAGTGACCGAGACACGCACACACAGGCTGGGCTGGCTCACTGTTGCTTTGAGGTGCTTGACGAGAAACACGAGGAAGCCCCGGTCGACGGCATCGGCGCTCAGAATGGGATTCGACTGACACACGCACACACACAAGCAAGAAAGAGAAAGCAGTATGTGTGCCAGCCAAGAAAGGGATATGGATGCTGTGCAAGCTTACCGCGATCAGGCTCTGTGCTGAATGCAGACACACCTTGATGTGCGTCGCGTGAGACAAATCGCCCTGAAAATGGATGGATGATACCGATGAGACGGTGAGTCAAAAATTGAGCCGCCGTGTACGGTCCTCCCGATTGATTACCTACCTGCATTGCTTCCTCGTCGAACATTTTCTTCTTAGGCCACCTCACTTCGTGATACAGCCTCATTCTACACACGAGACACAGACTCAGAGGTACGTGTACGCGCCAGAGAGCATCTTGCCAGGCGCACCTGTGCTGCAGCGACAGTGGGAGTTTCATTTTTGCCATGTAGTGGTTGAGCTCGTCCAGATGCCGCTCGTACGCCTGGCCGGCCGCATCCAGATGGCTCATCATCCCCGCCACCAAACCAATAATGCCTGAGGAAGGAAAAGAGAACGAGAGGAAAGAACAAAGAGACTGTGGTGTTCATTTAGTTGTCGTGTGTGTGTGTGTGTGGTGTGTGGTGTGTGGTGTGTGGTGTGTGTGGTGTCACCTGAGAAGAGCGCGGCGCCGATGGTCATTGAGACGGTCGTCAGCCACAGCTCAACTATCAAGCGGGGCTCATCGCGACCATAACTACACAATACACACACACACACACACACAGAGAGAGAGAGAGAGAGGCCAATGAATGCTTCCAGCTGCTCATCGGAGCGTTGACAATGAGAAGCTATGACAGCCCTCTGTCTGAGGCTGACTGACTCACCCGATGGATAGCGTGTGTGAGGCTGAGTAGAAGAGCGCCCAGGTGTACTGGTCCATGCGTGTCGCTTCTGTCAGGTCCAGCAGCGCCACCCAGCTGTTTGGATGGAAGTCGTCGAACCGAGCGGTCAGGAACGAGAAACACGCCATGATGTGCGCAAACAGCACAAGGAAGCTGAAGATGCCCGTCATCCGCGCGAACGTCGTCTTCAGCCGGATCTCCACCAGCTCCGTGTGCATATACCGCACCAGGCGACAAATACGCAGCAGCCTCACGTACCGCAGCGTACGTATTTGCGAGATGTGGTCCTCACACGCGTAGCCCAGAAAATCCAGCGGGAGCGTGCCGATCAAGTCACAGAAAAATCGCGTCTTGAGGTAGTGCCACGCCGCAGCTCTCTTCTCGAGCACCAGATGGCCCTCTTTGACATATCCGGTGAGGAAATTGACGCATAGGTCTGCGACCATCAGGACATCCGAGAGGAGACACAGCGCGAGCATCAGCAAGTTCTCCCACGCCATGTCGTCAGGCTCGATGCCCCAGTCATCATAGAAGGCCACACGAATGGGGATAATGATGATGTCCAGCACGATGAAGAAGCTGACAATGATGTTCCATATCCGGCGGAAGCGGCCTGTGGGGTGGAAGGCCTTGCCAGTCTTGGCCTTGGTCAGCACCTTGTCCTTCGCCGTCGTGCCGAATACCCTGTGGGCTATGTCCCTCATACCGGGGTAAGACCCCGACAAGGCGGATCTCATGCGAGCGAGCCGCCCCGACGTCAGCCGCTTGAAGCTGCTCCTCCAGCTCCGAACGCTGCCAACCGATACCCGCTCGGCACCCATCCGACCATGAATGTCTCCCGCGCTGAAGCTGGTGACCGACTGTCGGTGAGCATGGCTGACCTTCTGCACTGCGTCAGCCATTCGCGAGAGCACGTCCTGATGGCTGCTCGGCGACGGCGTCTTGCCTGGCGAGCCGAAGGGCGCCACCGGTGATTGAAGGACATCCAATGAGGCCCTTTTCCGGGCTGCCAGCGTGGCAGCTGGGGCTGGAGGCAGGACAATCTCATGGCTCTTTGTGGTCTCGCCGCTCTTGGTCCTGGCAGGCTGAGAGTTGGCGTCGGCGCCCAGGGGCCCCATGGCGGCCTGGCGGGCCGCGAATGTGCTGTTGGTGGGGGCGGGTGGAGTGCTGGGCTGGATAACAACGCGGGGAGTCAGTGACAGGTTGGGCGACGAGGGAGTCCTCCGCATCCATCCCTGCGCCTCCTCGTCACCAGTGTCCCACAACGACGGATCCTCCAATGCCAGAGCGGCAGCCATCGTGCCTTTTGACTTTTATTGATGTCTTGACCAGGTCGTGAATCGAAATCAGCTGGAATCACGCTGATGCAAATGTATGGTCGGCAGTAACTGTTCAGGCAGCTGAGCGGCGGATAGAAGGGCCAAGAGGGGATAGAGGGATGTCGGTGACCACCATATCGTTGCGACCAACATAGTTGGCTCCCTGTCTGATGGGGCCGGCTATGTTGGCGGTTTGTTTGAAAGAGTAGAGAGAAAATCCACTAGCCATATGGCTGTCGCTCTCGCGCGGTGTGGAAGAATTACGCGAGTTGCAACACAATGTTCTCGCAAGCTCGCATTCCGCGAAACCGCTCCCCGCGATTGCGATTTGAGAGAGGCGGAAGGAAGGAAGGAAGAAGGAAGGAAGAAGGAAGCAAGAGGTGTTCGGGAGATTTGATACGCCCTGTGCGTCTTCCATCCTCGACACTCCAGCGCGCATCTCTCTCGTGACGTTCTTCCCTCCCCGCTCTCGCTGGCATCCAACTCCCCAGTGCGCGCAGCATCTGTGGATCCGGCTCTGCATGCGCATGCGCCAGCTGGTGTGCTGATCGTCCACTGCGTCTCGGTCTCATCTCCCGTGCAGCACAGCATGCCTCCCTCCCCGCGCACACCCAAGCTGATCCAGTTTGCACTCTGCAAGGGTGGCAATGCCCTGTCGGCGGACATCCCTGACGTGACGCCCACCTTCCCCCCCTCCCAGCTCTCCGGTCAGCAACCCAACCACTCATTCTCTATCGGCTGGCTTGATGGTGATGAAGGTCCCAACAGTTCGGCTGTGGCGGTGTGTGTGGCCCCACTGGTGCAGCACCGGTTCCGCCGCACCCCCGTTGCGCCACACTACATCCGGGCGAGGCTGCACGAGGCGCTCCTCGCCGAGCTCAACGTCGAGGAGGCTGAGGGGGATGGCGATGCGGATGAAGGAAGCGAGCACTCGTCACCTGCCCCGTCGCTGCCCGTCGAGTCGCTCGTGGCAGCCATCCTGGTCGACGACACGCGATCAGACCTGCTCCGCATCATCACCAAGGCGCCCCCCTTCTCGTCGGCAACAGGTGCGTGTGTCGGCGTGACAGCCCTGGACATCTACCTCCCGCCGCAGTACCCCACTCGCGCTCTCAAGGTCGCTCTGGCGCCGTTCCTCTCATACACGCCCGCAGACCTCTTCACGCTCGCCTCCCTCGTCCACCGCCAGACAGAGGCAGGGCCGTCCCGCATCAAGTGGACGCGCAAGCATGGCTCGGTGATGGCGGATGTGCGCGTCAAGGGGGTGATTGGCGAGTGTGTGAGGGGCGTGAGTGAGGGTTTCGGTGATGGCTTGGAGGGTGAGAGGGCGGCGGGCGGCAGTGGTGGTGTGAAGGTGCCGTTGACGCATCGGCTGCAGCAGCATCGGGCTGGTGTGTGGAAGACCCGGTGTCTGCAGGGAGGGGTGGTCGAGCCCATGCAGAATGCAACTGATGGTGAGTAGAGAGAGCCTAAGGGCAGGAACTGATGCATGTCAGGCAGGGAGGCATAGATACACACATGCATTGATGGCTGGCTTGGCTTGTGTGGTTCAGACTGTCGGTCGTGGGTGAGCCTCTTCGTGGCGCTGGTGCGGGAGGACCTCAACCAACTCTGCAAGACGTAAGCCGAGACAACCAACACAGCCAACCAGCTGACTGACCTGCGCAACCTCTCTGTGTCCCATTCTGCTTCCTCTGTCAAATTTCCATCAGTTGGCGGTCCAATCCGCCCTCTCCCCACCTGCAGCGGGTGCTCGATGACCTCACTCAGCTCACAGCAGCGACCACCCCCTCCCTCCCCCTCCCCCTCCACGCCCACGCCCACACCCACACTCACGCACCCCCGCTCACACTCACTGGCGGCTCATCATCACAGCTGTGCGATACGGAAGACCTGGAGGGCCCACCGATGGCAGCGGTGCCCCCACCCACCAACACCAACAGCAGCACACCCACACACACACCGGCGACCAGCGCCATCAAGCGTGACCACGAGGCGCTGCCCCCGGGCATCATCCTGTCGCTGGAGCATCAGCCGGACCGGCACGACCTCCCCCCGGTGCTCAACGCGGCCATGCAGGCCATCCACGCATGGCAGCAACGGGGTGGTGAGGAGCAGGCCGACGACGGCGTGTTCGACGAGGGCAGCAGTCTGGAGCGGCCTGTCCGTCGGCTGACGGCCGACGGGCTGCGTGTTGCGTCGCGCCGGTCGATGTCGCTGCCGACAACCAGCAGTGAGGAGATGGTGAACGGCCCCTGCCCGATATGTCTGGAGTCGTTCGGCCCGTCGCCGCTGCGTGGGAGGAAGATGGTGCGGATGGAGGGGGGATGCCGCCACGGGCTGTGCCTGTCGTGTGCCGCCGACTGGCTCGTCAAGCAGGCAGAACAGGGGCAGCTCCCCGCCAAATGCCCGGTACATAAGTCACCTCAGCTCAGCTCGC